ATATTTATATATACTTTGTGTTCTTTTTTCCCCTTAACCCTGAGATACTTTCTCTGCACAAGCAATGACAAGAGAATGGAAGCTATTCTGAGTTATGATAACAGAAGATACATGCTGTATACCTCTAGAAGAATGCAAGGCTCTAGAAGAAAGTAGGCTGTCTTTGGTGGTGCCTAGCATAAGAGTCTGATGCATAGAAGACATCTAATAGATGCTTGTTGAGTTGAACTGGGTGTTGATGATGATAATTACTTGTTACGCAGACATAGTATTATTGTGAAAACTCACATTTTGATAAATGACTTATAAGTGAATATAGAGAGAAGGACCTGGAAATGCATTTCTTTGAGTTTGGAAACCCAAACCACATGAAACCACTTTGATGGACCCATGTTCTCATCATTGTGGGTCTTTCTTCCACCTATACAGGTCAACAACCCATATGCTTTTTCTCATCCTGTGTGATTGTTGTCTATGTTCCAACCTTAATCTTAACCTGTAAGTCCAAAGAGGATCTATCCAACCTGCCAGAGACCTTACTTCAGGTCTTTTAATATTTCATGTATAGTAGTGCTATCATCCAGCTAGGTGACACAGTGAATAGAGCACTGGACCAGGAGTCAGGAAGACCTGAACTCAAATCCAACCTCAGGCACTTACTATGTGACCCTGGACAAGTCACTCTCTCTGTCTGCCTCAGTTTCTTCATCTATAAAATGGAGATAATAATAGCACCTACCTTCCAGGATTGTTGTGAGGATAAAATTAAATAATATTTGTAAAGCACTTTGTAAAACTTAAAATACTATGTAAATGTTAGCCATCATTTACTATTATCTATCCATTATTCTCTACTCTCATTCTGTGAGCTTTTCATCTTCTCTTCTAGTTAAACATGCTCTTGATGAAGTCCTTTCTGACATTTATCACATCTAAGTCATTTCTGGTAAATATTGAAAACATTTGTTCCTCATGCCATTCCTACCATGCCTGTTAACCAGTTCTTTTTTGGATCACCTTTAATTTTGGTTCTCTTGAGATAATGGTGTTTTATGATGCACAGCCATGATTTCTTATTAATCAATGAAACAGATGGAAAACTTAAAAAAAAAGGAAAACCTCTACTCCTATTGGAGAACCTCAGGGCTTTGTGCTTAGCCCTGTTACACTGAACCTCTTTATTGGTGATTTAGATCTAAGGCTAGTTTATCAAATTTGTAGATAACAGTATCATTATTAAATAAGGGGATTGAACTAGATGATCTCTAAGTTTCTTTCCAGCTCTAAATCCTATGAGTTCTGGGCTAAACCTGATCAGATGGAATAAACTAGGGATAAATGTAAAAACCCACACTTTAAATTTTTTCTTTAAATGAGTTGTATTTGTATAGGATGGGGAAGATATGCCTATATGGCTAGATAGAAGTTCATGAGAAGACCTGGGAGGTTTAGCTGACTGCAAGCTCAGTATGAGTCAGCAGTGGCTGATTTAAAAATAAAAAGAGCTAAGTGAGTGTTATAATGAATGTGAGGGAGATGATAGTCCTATCTTACTTTGCTCCAGTCAAAGTATATCTGTAGTACTATATTCAATACTGGACACATTTTAGGAGAGAAGCTGATAAATGGCAGCTAAACCATAGGAGGGTGGTTGGGTCGGTGAGGTACTCACAACTGTGTTCTATGAAAGTTGTAGGTAATAGGGATGTTTATCTTGGAAAAGATAAGACATATGGGAAACACAATAGCTGTCTTTAAATATTTGAGGAATTGGAATAGAATGTGTTGATTGGTAATAACTTTCTCATCACTTGATATCTTCAAGCCAAAGTTGGATGATCGTTTGCTGGGGGTAAGTGTGATGGAGATTCTTTTAGTTATGAATTCTAGTTCTATGATTCTAGTAATTTTTCCTCATACTTAAGACTATTGCTAAGACATCCTACAAGCAGTACGGTGATATTCTACACATAAAAATTATTTTTTAAAATAACCATTTTCTTTGGGTGTACATGTGGGACAGGTGAGATTTAAACATATTTGAGTAGTATTCCATACTTTAACTTACTTATCTATATCGTACATTTTTGACAAGTGGCCATTTAGCCTTTCCCTTGAGCATCTCCAGTGAACATCTCCAGCTTCTCCCAAAATGGCCTATTCCACTTTTGGACTGCTCTGATTGCTAAGAAGTCTTTCTTTATTCTGTTGAAAGAGGCATTTCTGTAAATTCAGTCCATCGTTCCTTGTTCTTCCCTCTGGACCCAAACAGAACAAAGTTAATTCCTCTCCTACATAATCACTTGACTGTTTCAAGATTGCTGGTATGTTGTTGCTTTCTTTTTTTTTTTTCTAGGGTAAACATCCCTACTTCCTTCAACTGAAGGCAATGTGATACAGTGGTTAAAACACCAGACTTAGAGTTGGAAAGTCCTAGATTTAAATCCCATCCTATACATTTATTGACCATGTGACCTTGGATAACCTCTCAACCTCAGTTTTCTTATCCCCAAAATAAAGATAATAATATCTGTAGCATTTATTTGACAGAGTTACTGTGAGAGAAAAAAAGACATATACATAAAATGTTTTACAAACCTAGAAGTGCTATTTATGTGACCGAATTTATTTATTTAATTTATTTTATTTTTAATTTATGGACTAAACAAACATTTCTGTAACATAGTATAATAAAAAAAGATGATCGCACATGAAACTGCAAATCTATTATGTACAACTTGCTATTTCTTTTTGATGTATAATAAAGTTTTCATGTGCATTTCTTTTTCTTCCCTTCTCTCCACCACCTACCCTGCCGAGAGATGGCTACCAATAGACACAAATAGGTACATATGTAAAATTATTCTATACGTACTTCTATTTATCAATTCTTTCTCTAAATGTAGATAGCATCTTCCTTCATATGACCTTTGGAGTAAATCTGGGTATAACTTAGTTGCTCAAAGTTGTTCTTAAAACAGTATTGCTGCTTCTGTATTCAATGTTTTCTTGGTTCTGCTCATTCTCCTCTTTGTTATTTCATGCACAGTAGTATTTCATCATGATCATACACTCCACCCTGTTCAGCCATTCCCCACTTGATGAGCTTCCCTGTAATTTCCAGTTCTTTGCTACCATAAAGAGAGCTGCTATAACTGATTATCATGTGACACGGTTTGTATGTACTGTATGTACTCCTCTGTATGTACTCTAACTTACTCCACATACTATCTTTCCATGGCCTAGTACATTTCACCATGACTTTTCCAGACCTGGATTTTATACTCTCTTAATGAAACGTAGGACTGCATTCACTTTTCTGGCTGCTACGTCACATTGTTGGCTTGTGTTGAGCTTGCTGTTTACTCCAAATTCCCAGGTCTTTGCCCACAAGTCTGTTGACTATCAATGCTTCCCCCATTTTGTATTCATGCAATTGATTTTTCGAACCCAAATATGGTACTTTACATTGATGCCTATTAAATTTTATCTTATTAGACTTGGCCTATCATTTTAGCCCATTGATATTTTATGGACCTTGTCATTTCAGCTTCATATCATCTACAATTTGGATAAGCATGCCACTTATGCTTTCATCCAAATCATTGATAAAATTGTTTAATAGTGCAAGACCAAGCATAAGTTCTGGTGATGAGATACTAAAGATCTCCCTTTAACTTGATAAGATCCATTAATGACTATTCTTAAACTAATTAGGGCTTTGATTATACTGTGATAAAATTGCATTTTAGTAGACAGAGTTGGCTATTTTTAAATCTAGTTTCCTATGTATGCCCCCAGGAAAGCCTTATTAACTTACCCTCCACAAAATCATATTTTATGTTAGTCATATTTTATGTTATGAGGCCAAATTTGCTTTTGCCAAGAGAATCTAAATTAATACCAAAAGTAAGGGTGTCTTTAGGGGGCTTAAAAGACCAAACTACTTTTAAGCATCTTTCAGAACTTGAGAAACCATTTGCTGACACGCAAATTAGGGAATCTACTTTATTTAATCTACCTCTGTGGGATTGACAGGGATAGCCTTGGTTTGTTTGTTTTTTAGAATTCTTTATGTGAGACATACACTGACCAGAGACAGATGAAATCAAAACAATCCCAGGCGCATGTGCAGGCACAATCATAGACACAGACACAGATAGAATGTCCTTTCTGGTATTTTTCAAATGTGTTAACTTCAGTATAATTTTTACTTTTCAGGTAAAATACTTCAAAATATAATATTTGTCTTAATATAAATGAGAAAGGTCAATGTGAATTACCAAAGATATCTGAATTCATAGAACATTTTTAAGAAATGCAATTTTATTATTTTCAAAGAAGAGTTGTCATGGGCTAGCGAAGTGTGCCTAACAGAGGCCCCGCACTAATCAACATATATCAAAAGTTTGTAATGAGCATTTCAATGTGCTAGTTTGAATAGTATTAATTTCTGCTCACATTGCAATTATGCTACTTGTATACAAAAAAATTCCACGTAAAGTGCTTTAAAACAGTTCAATCTCTTAAGAAAATAGCATTCTTAAACTTTTATTAGTGCAGTCAGTTTGCTTGGCAAACCCTTTGTTGACAGTGTGAAAGTCAACTTAGACACTTCCCATGGAATTACCACAAATTCTGAATAAGTAGCTGAAGTTAATGAAGCTTTACTTGTAACAACAACAAAGAAGTAAATGGAAAAATTACAAATGCACAAGTTCTTGTAAAGAAGTGAAAAATAAAAAAAAAAGTGAAAAATGATGAGTTTTTTAAAAAAATAAATGATTTCTTTATTCATATATAGATAAGTTGGGGATATCAGGGTTAATAAAATTTGTTTCATTCTGAGGATGGTCAAAAGTTTTTACAGCCAAACCACAAGTTTCTCTTCAGTCAGCATTTTCGTTAAGTAAATTCTTTACTCTGCAATTTTGAAATAAGATTGTTGTAACATGTGACTAACTCAATAACCTGAGAAAACAAGAAATAAAAAAAGTAACATTTTCAAATCACGTGATTTGGGACTTTGGGGGAAAAAATCAACAACATAGGAAATCTTGGATTCTTCACCATAAGCAGGTACAACTTACATTCCTAAAATAAGTAAGAGTGGGTAGAGGGAAAGGAATTCTTCCTTTCATAAGGAAAATAGCCACTGGAAAGGCAGATGTGTGTAAAAGTTATATATGCAGGTTGGTAAATAGAAATTAGAATTAGTAATATTGAGTTGGACAGGTTTCTATCTTATTTATAAATTTAACTGAGTTTCATTTTCCTTTATTGTAAAATATGGATGGTTATATTTATTTGTATTGCCTACCTCACAGGATTATAGTATTAAAACATACTTTGTAAACCTTAATTCACTGTATAAATGAGTTGTGTTGACACATACATACACACACCCACATATATATATGTGTGTTCATATATGTACTGAATATGTGTATACATTTATATATGTATATATCTTATTTTTAATAAATTGATTGTTTTATTGATTTCTTACAACCAAATACTGCCAACAAGCAACCCTAAAAAGAGGAGTATAAGCCTACCAGGAAAACATGTAATTTTAATGAAAGAGAGGATTTTCAGGCATTCCTAATGAAAAGACCAAAGTTGAGAAGGAACTTTGAAATACATATAAGAATTTTAAGAAGGCTAGAAAGGTAAATGTATTTGAACAATTGGAAAGAGAAATATACTGATGTAGTGCAAACATTCCTCTTTCTCTGATTTAATTGCAGAGGTAAGAAGAGTTCGGGAAGGTCAGGGATTTTTTTTTTAAAGATCATTTTAATGATTTTTAAATTGCACAAAACATAAAGAAAGAAAGAAAGAAGCATAGGCAAAAAGGACAGTTTTGAAAGTACTATGTAGAATTTATTATATGCTTTAGAAAAAAAACCCCATTCTATAAAATGGAGATTCCTGATTTCATATGGAATCCACTTTTTTTTGGTTATACTATGAGTTTGGAAATGTATTTTTTTGTGCTTAAGTTCAGAACAATAAATAACAATTTCAAATTAAGGTTTATTTTTTCAATGAACAAAAATCTACTTTCTCTGCCTCTCTCTCCACTTATAAAAGCAATGGAAACAAAATTATTGTAAGAAAAACAGTCAGACAAAAAAAATTCCTCATTGGTCATGTCCATAAAAATTAGGTTTCAATCTTCACTCTGAGTTCATGACCTTCTGTCAGGAGGTAGGTAGTATGTTTCATTAAGAGTCCTCTGGAACTGTGATTGGTCATTGCATTGATCAGAGCTCTTAAGTTTTTCAAAATTGTTTATCTTTATAATGTTGTTGTTATTGTATAAATTGTTCTCTTGATTTTGCTCATTAAGAGTCCTCTGGAATTGTGATTGGTCATTGCATTGATCAGAGCTCTTAAGTTTTTCAAAATTGTTTATCTTTATAATGTTGTTATTGTATAAATTGTTCTCTTGATTTTGCTCACTTTATTCTGCATCAGTTTATACAAATCTTCCCAGTTTTCCCTGAAACTGTCCCCCTTTGTCTTCTGTGATCCTCTCTATCCTTTCTTTATGAATATTTCCACTACATATAGTTCTGAAAGGTATGTTTTCCCTTGTTTTTTAAAATCTGTTTGTGATATTACCCTTTATGTCTAAGTTACATATCCATTTGGAACTTCTCTTGGTACATATAGTGTGAAATGTTGGTCTATACCTAGTTTCTGCTAGATTGCTTTCCAGTTTTATAGCAATGTTTGTCAAATAGTGAGTTCTTACCCTGTTAGTCAGTATCTTTGAGTTTATCAAACACTAAAACATTCTGTTTGTTTGCTGTTTTCCTGTAGGGTAAGATAGATTTGCATTCCCAGTTGACTGTGTATGTTATTCTCTCCTTAAGCCAAATCTGATGAGAATAAAGTTCATTCATATCCTCCCTGCTTCCTCCATTTCCCCTCCACTGTAAAAGCTTTTTTTTGTTTGTTTTATGTGAGATAATTTACCCCATTCTACCTCTCCCTTTCTCTCCCAGTATAATCCTCTCTCATCCCTTAATTTTATTTTTTAGATATCATCCCTTCATCTTCAACTCATCCTGTGTCCTCTGTCTATATGTATATGGGTCTTACGAGTTACAAATATCATTTTTCCATGTAGGAATGTAAACAATCCAACTTAAATAAGTCCCTTATGATTTCTCTTTCCTGTTTACCTCTTCGTGCTTCTCCTGAGTCTTGTATTTGAAAGTCAAATTTTCTATTCAGTTCTGGTCTTTTCATCAAGAATGCTTGAAAATCCTCTATTTCACTGAATATCCATTTTCTCCCCTGAAGTATTATACTCAGTTTTTCTGGGTTGGTGATTCTTGTTTGTAATCCTAGTTCATTTGACCTCTGGAATATCATATTCCAAGCCCTCTAGTCCCTTAATGTAGAAGCTGCTAAATCTTGTGTTATCCTGATTGTGTTTCCACAATATTGGAATTGTTTCTTTCTGGCTGCTTGCAATATTTTCTCTTTGACCTGGGAACTCTGGAATTTGGCTATGATATCCTTAAGAGTTTTCTTTTGGGAATCTCTTTCAAAAGGTGATTGGTGGATTCTTCCTATTTCTATTTTACCTCTGGGCCTAGAATATCAGGGCAGTTTTCCTTGATAATTTCTTGAACGATGATGTCTAGGCTCTTTTTTTGATCATGTCTTGCAGATAGTCCAATAATTTTTAAATTATCTCTCCTGGATCTATTTTCCAAGTTGGTTGTTTTTCCAATGAGATATTTCACATTGACTTCTGTTTTTTAATTCTTCTGGTTTTGTTTTATAATTTCTTGATTTCTCATGAAGTCATTAGCTTCCATTTGCTCCATTCTAATTTTTAAGGAAGTATTTTCATCAGTAAGCTTTTGGACTTCCTTTTCCATTTGGCCAATTCTGCTTTTTAAGGCATTCTTCTCCTCATTGGCTTTTTGGACCTCTTTTGCCATTTGGGTTAGGCTATTTTTTAAGGTGTTATTTTCTATAGTTTTCTTTCTCTGTTTTGATTTTCCTAGATTATGTATCAAGATCATACTTGTATCATATAAGGGATTTGGTAGAACACTTTCATTTCCTATTTTTTGAAAGAGTCTTTACATTTCAAGCATATTCATTGTTAGAAACATATTGTTTGATTCTCTTTTCTAATCCATTCTACTCTCCTCTTCCATTTTTGGAATGAGTTCATTCTATTTTAATTCACCGTTATGATCATTGAATGTGTATTTCCCTTCATCTTACTATCTAATATTTTTCTCTTTCTTTCCCACTGCTTTAAAAAGAAGATGAGCAAGAAGAAGCAGGAATTACACTCTAAGTTTGATACAATCTGTTTCTACCTCCCTGTAGATTTTCTCTTTACCCTACCCAGGGCAAGGAAGTTAAATTCTATGAAATTTAAAAAATAAGGAAAGTATCTGAGAATAGGTAATGAAACATTCACCATCACTTATGGCAGAGAAATGGAGGACTATTTGTACAGAATATTGCCTACATTGTCAAATGAGGTCACTGTATCACATGTGCTTAATTATTTTTCTGTGGTGTGTGTGTAAGATTGTGGTATAAAGACAAAAAGGCATAGATAATGAATATTTTAGAGAAATCATTGGTTCTAGTAGAATGGAGAGAATGGTAGGAGCTAGCACTTGCAAATGTGGAAGCAGCAGTGAGAGTATTTTTCTAGATGTTTATGGCAGAAGAGAAGGGAAATAGAAAGTTTGCATTAGGAGATACCAGGATCAAGAAAAATTTTGATACCTGAGCTTATTTACAGGCAGAGGGGAAAAGCTAGTAGAGAGACAAAGGTCAAGGTTATCTGCTGAGACTGAGGGTGCTGAGTGCTGGAGATTAATATTTAAGGAGCAAGGAAATTTGGAACATGGACTGTGAAGAGTGACAAAGAATAAATTAAAGATGAAAAGAAAGATTTTTGTGCAGGGGTGAGGGCCAACTTGAAGTTAGATCATATGAATTTGTAGTTGATCCAATCAGGAGGTCTTTCTCCAGGACCTTAGAGGAATGGACAGAGAAGGAAGATACATAGTTGGAGATTAGGAATTACAGAAGGACAAAGCATCTGTTAACATTTAGAAAAGGACATTTCCCTAGAGAGTAGTGTAGAAGTTCATGGTGCCAACTATTCAACTTCAACTAATTTAGTGAGAAGTTGGAAGCTTTGACTAGCCTCAATGCACATAAAAGCACTAATTTTAAAAATAGAAATATAACTGAAGTAAATTGTGTGAACTTATTGTGAAACTTTTATCACTGTTATTATTGGGTATTCTTTCAGCCTGATCTATGGATCATGTCTTAGACTTGCTGCCTGGACTTTGTTTGAATCTAGACATTCCCTTCCTTTTCTAGTGCCCCCACATCAGCCCTTCTCTCTCTTCTCTCAGGTCAATGACTGGCTCTGTACAATTATCACCAAGTTTCTGGGCTCTTCTTCATAAACTCTTCCAGTTATGAATTTTTCTTATTCCTGGGACCAGGAGGTTTCAAATTGCTCAATGGATAGTCTACAGTCTCAGCTCATGGTACATTACATCAGCAACCCTGGGGTGGCATTGGGAGTTACAAAAAACAAAGGGGCAGGAAATTTAATGGTCAAGCACAGTACATTTTAAAAATAGCTGACTCTAAGGTCAAGACTATGAAGAAAGAATGGGGGTGATGAATTTGGAGAACATGGAAGGATAGATGGACGAGAGATCACAAGGAGGATGAAGAATAGATTATGAGGACAAAATGATCGGAGGGGGAGAAGGCTGCAAGTTTGTAACGAGGGAGAATTTCAAAGTTCAAGTTCTTGAAGGTGGAGAAGTTTAGAGTAATGTTGAGATCTAAGGTGGTAGCAAAGGTAGAATGTAAAAGGAAGTCATGGGAACTGGAGAGGCTAATGAACTGAAAGGCCAAGAGGTCAAAAGTGTCATAAAAATGAAATCTGAAGTCACTAAGGATGCTGTCCAGGGGCTGGAGTAGAAAACAAGATTATAAACTTGGTGCTGAAATCATATAAATAAGTGATTGAATGTCCCGAAAGTTCTTAAATATCAGTGACAAGGATTGAGATAAGGTGATTTAACTGAATGGCAGTGAACAACAAAACAGGAGAGGTATTAAGTGTTGACTCAGGACAAGGGTCTAGAAGTAGCAGTAGCTACTAGTAATATAATAGTAGTAGTTCAGTAGCATGAACTGTATTGACTCATCCTCGGAGACCTGGTAGTTGTTTGCAGGATGGGGATGACCTTAGAGAGGGTGGTAAGTGATATGTTTTCTTCAAGAGAAATCCAGGTTTCATTTTGTGCCCGTGGGTGAAAGGAGTATAAAAAGGAAAGGAATAGGGACAAATGAGAATTTTCAACAAACAAATTGTATGCTACATTTTAACTTTCTATATTTAGTGTTAGGGCAGCTAGATGATGTAGTGGATAGGACACTGGTCCTGGAGTCAGGAAGATCTGAGTTCATAGCACACTAGCTGTGTGACCCTGGGAAAGTCAGTTGACTTCTGTTTGACTCAGTTCTTCAGCTGTAAAATGGAGCTAATAATAGCACCTACCTCCCAGGATTGTTGTGAGGATCAAATGAGATAATAATAACAAAGTGCATAGCACAGTGCCTGACTCTAGTAAGAACAATATAATGTTATTATTATTATTAGTTATTTTTATTGCTTAACAAATGTCTCTGAAAAAGAATCGTTTTGATGATGAATCAGAATCAGAAGGGATATCAGAAGCCATCTTTTCCTACCTCAATCTGAACAAAAATGCCCTTGGCAACATGCTTAATAATTTGACAGCCAGCCTTTTCTTAAGCATCTCTAGCAAAAGAGAGCTCCCTATCACCTGAGACACAACCCATGCCACTGTGGGACAGTTTTTCCTTACCTTTGGCATAAATTTGTCTCCTTACTGCTTCTATCCATATCTCTTAATTTTCTCCTTTGGGGACAAGCGTAAATCTAATTTCTCTTCCGTGTTAATCCTTCAAATACTTCAAGACAGTTATCATGTGTCTCCTTCCCTGCTGCTGTCTTCTCTTTCTCTAGGCTGAATATTCCTAGTTCGTTCAACTGATCATATGGTATGCACCTGAGGTATTTCACCACTCCAGTTGCCCTCCTCAGGATACTTTCCAGTTTATCAATATAGGGCCCAGATTTGAGCATAATATGCCTGATATGACATGACCAGGGCAGAGTACAGTGGCAATATCACCTCTGAAATCTTGTTAATGCAGCCTAAGATTGCATTAACTCTCTTGTATACCACATCACATTGTTGACTCATGTTTAGTATGCAGTTCACTAAAACTCCCCTATTCAATTGTTCGAGGGGGAGAGGAAGAGGGGAAAAATAATGTACTAGAGATGTGAATTGGTCAAACCATTCTAAAAAGCAATTTGGAACTATACGCCAAAAGTCACGAAAACTATACATGTCCTTTCATCCAGTAATATCTTTACTAGGCGTGTACCTCAAAAAGTTCAAAGATAGTGGGACAATACATACATATACATACACATATGTGTATGTATATATGTGTGTGTGTGTGTGGATATATGTGTGTGTATATATATATATATATATATATATATATATATGTATATATCTGCACTTTTTGTTTTAGCAAAAAACTAAGTTGCCCATTGGTTGAGTAATGACTGAACAAATTATGGCATATGAATGTGATGGAACATTATTTCACCAAAGAAATGGCAAAAAGGATGGATTCAGAGAAACCTTGGAAAATGGATATAGAGTAAAGAAAGAAGCAGGAGAACCATTTGTAAAATGATTGCAATATTGTAAAGGAAAAAATTTTGAAAGATCAATTCAATGAATAATCATGATGCCAGAACACTGATGATGAAGCATGTTTCCATACCTTAATGGAGAAGTAATATACTGTGGAAGAAAGTGAATAAATTTTCAGACATGATCAATAAAATATAATTTTGTTTTGTTTGACTATCAAGGGAGGGCTTTTATTTGGTGGAATGTTGGGGGAAAGTGATATATATCAAAAAAATGAAGAATATCAATGACACATTCTAGAAAACAAAAGAGAGAAGGGAGTTCAAAAGTGGACACAAACAGAACAATGTTGATACTACTACCATGTTAAATTTAATATGTATTTTAAAACATATTTGTGATATATTAATGGTTTCATATACAATGGTATTTTTCTGGATTTCCCTAAATATAAGAATATTTATGTTTTTTGATGATTTCCTAGTTCATAGTAATATTTTTTAAGATGGGGTTTTTTTCAAATATCTAGGGACACTTCCCCATCTTATACTTGTGAAATTGATTTTTTTCAACCTAAATGTACTACTTTACACTCCCATTAATTTTTTCTTAAAAAGTCAGCCAAAGTTTATCTTCACAGGTGCTCCAGGGCTGTAGTGAATGTTCTGAATTTAAATTCATTCATTGAGTAACTATCTATTGAGTTCCTACTAAGTGCTTTTTAATGCTATACCAAGAAGCATTGTGATCTTCCTAAATCTCAGGTTTTCCATAAAGTTGCAAAGATATTGCCATATGAAACATCAATTAACAACAGAATGAAATGTCATATGAAAGATAGCAACTGCAGAAAAAATTACTGGCCATGGTGCTGAATAAACTTGGCCCCTGAAGAATATGAGCAGTGACCACAGCCAAACTGCAGATCATGATGCAGAACTAGTAGGGGACTACTGGATGACTTAGGAAATAATGATTAGAAGTGCCACAGAGGCTGAAGAATTGATTTAGTGAGTATAGGGGGAAAGGCAGACCAATGGTAGTTATCATTAAAGGGCACACCTGGTTTGATATTTTGCAAACAGCAGTATGGTGATAAGTTCCAGGTTGTGACTGTGTCAGTGATAGATATGAACAATGGTCAAAAGAGTAAAGAATAGTGAGAAAACAAAAATGTCCCTAAAGGGGGAAGTTTCATATGTTGCATATTATTCCCATTACAACCAAGAACACAATTCAAGTGCATTGAAAACAAGGTGTTTTGTTGCATGTTTTTGCCCAGGTAGGGTATGTTCTATATATTTATGCTTCAATCTATAGTTACTTGTTGGTATGTAATTATATGCACTACCTTTTATCTCTTAAGACTCACATGATATAGCTTTTCTCTTTCAAAAAATAGACCTTGGTGACTTCCAGTACCAAGATGGCAGAATGAGGAAGGAACCCTCCAAAGCCCTCCCAACAACTTGAACTGCCTCAGAGTTGATCAAGGAGCAGGGAAGCAGCTCACCAGCCTGGTAGGAGATGTTTGCCTCACTGGGGTGGGAGGGGAGTAAGGTCCAAGAGCAGCAGCAGCAGCTAGCCTCACAGCAGAAGGCCTGCAGCAGGGCTCTGAGCCTGGGGCAATCTACCAGTGAGATGCTGTCCTTGCGCAAACCAGCAGACCCCTAGAAAAGTGAGCAGTGTGCCGTGAAGCACAGTAAGGTCCCATCCCAGTGACTCCACCCCCAGCACAAACCACCAGCAAGACCTAGACCCCATTGCTGACCATTACTGAAGCCCCACCCCAGGGCCCTACCTGCAGAGAGACTCTATTTCCATAGCAACCCAGCAGCAGGGCCCTACTCCTGAGGCTGACCAGGAACAAGATCTCTCCCCCAGCGCCAGCTACCAGAAAGACTCCATTACCATTGCAAGTCAACAGCAAGGCCCCACCACTGTAGCAGGCCAGCAGCTAAACCCCACACCCAGAGGAGGCCAACAGGAAAGCCCCACATACCAGTACAAGCCGGAAGGGAAGCCTGCCTTCCAGAGAAAGCAAGCAGCTAAGCCCCAAAGCCCAGTGACAGCCAGCAGTAAGACCCAGAGCCCCAGCACCAAAAGCTTGGGACAGTGCAGTACCAGAGGCCAACTCTGACATAAAAATATTGAGTCACAAAAAAAGGCAAAAAAAAAAAAATGAGCAAAAAAACAAACAAAAAAAAGAGTTTGACTATGGAAATCCCTAGGGCATAAACTTAGAAGAGGATAATAGTGTCAAAATGGCTACATCTGAAGCCTCAAAGAAAATTTGTAATTTGGCCTCAGGCCCAAAAAGAATTCCTGAAAGAGCTTTAAAAGGATTTTAAAAAGCAAATTAGAGAAGTAGAAGAAAAATTGGGAAAAGAAATGAGAGTAATGAAAGAGAATCATGAAAAAGAATCAGTAGCATGGGAAAAGATATACAAAAACTTACTGAGGAAAATAACTCCCTAAAAAATAGAATTGGTCAAATGGAAATGGAAGTACCAAAGCTCATTGAAGAAAATGATTCTTCAAAAATTAGAATTGAACAAATGAAAACTAATGACTCTATGAGACATCAAAATACAATAAAACAAAATTTAAAAAGTAAAAAAAAAATAGAAGGAAAGGTGAAATTTCTCATTGGAAAAACAACTGACCTAGAAAATAGATCCAGGAGATATAATATAAGAATTATTGGACTACCTGAAGGCCATGATAAAAAAAAGGACAATGTCTTTCAAGAAATTATCTAAGAAAACTTCCCTGATATATTATAACTAGAGAGCAAAATAGAAATCAAAAGAATCCACCCATTACCACCTGAAAGAGATCCCAAATGAAAATTCCCAGGAACATCATAGCCAAATTCCACAGCTCACAGATCAAGGAGAAAGTATTGCAAGCAGCCAGAAAGAAACAATTCAAATATCATGGAGCTATAGACAGGATTACACAGGATTTGTCAGCTTCCACATTAAATAACCAGAGGACTTGAAATATGATATACCGGAAGGCAAAGGAGTGAGGATTACAACCAAGGATTGCCTACCCAGTAAAATTGAATATAATCTTTCAGGGAGAAAAGTGATCACTTAACAAAATAGAGGACTTTCAAGCATTTCTAATTAAAAGACCAGAGCTGAATAAAAAAATCTGACCTCCAAATTGCAAGATTCAAGGGAAACATAAAAAGGTGAAAAAGAAACAAGAAAGAGAAAACATAAGAAATTAAATAAGGTTAAACTGTTTACATTTCTATATGGCAAAATAATATTTATAACTCAACAATTATATTATTATAAGAACAATTTGAAGGAGTATATGGAGACAGAGGGTATGGATATAAGGTGACTTTAATGGGATGATAAAAAACCCCAACAAAATAAAGGGGTGACGAAGAAAATTGCACTGGAAGAAGAAAGAAGGGGGAGATTGAATGTGGTAAATTATCCCATATAAAAGAGGCATGAAAGAACTATTATAATGGAGAAGAAGATGGAGGGAGAATGGTAGGCAAAGCTTAAACCTTACTCTCATTAAAATTGGCTCAAAGAGGGAATAACATACATACTCAATTGTATATAGAAATCTATCTTATCATATAAAGAAGTAAAAAGGGATGGGGATAATACAAGGGGCAGAGGGAACTGATAAAAGAGAGGGCATATTGGGGGATGTGGTGATCAGAAGTAAAACACTTGTGAGGAGGGAAAGAGTGGAAGGTAAAAGAGAGAGGAGGATAAACAAGCAAAAAATAGCACGGAGGGAAATACATAGTTATCAAAACTATAAATGTGAATGAGATGAACTCACCCATAAAACAGAAGTGGAGAGCTGAATGGATTAAAAATCAGAATCCTACAATATGTTGTTTACGAGAAACACATTTGAAGCAGAGACATAACACACAGGGTAAAGCTAAGAGGCTGGAGCTGAATCTATTACACTTCAGCTAAAGCAAAAAAAGCAGGGTGTGTCAATCATGATTTCAGACAAAGCAAAAGCATAAACAGACCTACTTAAAAGAGATAAAGAAGGAAACTATATCTTGCTGAAAGGTACTATAGACAATGAAGTCATATCAATACTAAATATATATGTACCAAATGGTATAGCATCTAAATTTTTGAAGGAGAAGTTGAATGAGTTACAGGAGGAAATACATAATAAAACTATTCTGGTGGGGCACCTCAAATTTCCCCTCTAAGAACTAAATAAATCTAATGAAAAAATAAACAAGAAAAGTTAAAGAGGTGAATAAAAATTCTGGAAAAGTTAGCTATGATAAATCTTTGGAAAAAATTGAATGGGAATGGAAAGGAATATGCCTTTTCCTCAACAGTACATGGCACCTACACAAAAATCGAACATGTATTAGGACATAAAAACCTCACAACCAAATGCAGAAAACAGAAATAGTAAACACATTCTTTTCAGATCGTAATGCAATAAAAATACATTCAATAATGGACAATGGAAAGAGATTAAAAATTAATTGGAAATTAAATAATTGATTCCTAAAAAACAAGTGGGTCAAAGAACAAATCAGAGAAATAATTGATAATTTCATTAAAGAAAATGACAACAGTAAGACATCATACCAAAATTTATCAGATGCAGCCAAAGTGGTACTTAGGGGAAATTTATATCTTTAATTCCTTACATCAATAAAATAGAGAAAAAGCAGATGAATGAAACAAACAAAAAAAAGCCTAGAAAAAGAACAAATTGAAAATCCCCAATTAAACACCAAATTGGAAATCCTGAAAATCAAAGGAGAGATTAATAAATTTAAAAGTAAGAAAACCATTGAACTAATAAATAAAACTAAAAGCTGATTTTATGAAAAAAAAACAAATAAAATAGATAAACCATTGGTTAATTTGATTTAAAAAAGGGAAGAAGAAAACCAAATTACTAGTATCAAAAATGAAAGGGGTGAACTTACCTCCAATGAAGAGGAAATTAAGACAATTATTAGGAGCTATTTTGCCTAATTATATGTCAACAAATTTGTCAATCTAAAGGAAATGGATGGATTTCTACAAAAATATAAATTACTCAGATTAACAGAAGAAATAAAATAGTTAACCCAATTTTAGAAAAAGAAATTGAACAAGTCATCAATGAACTTCCTAAGAAAAAATTCCTAGGACCAGATCGATTCACAAGTGAATTCTACCAAACATTTAAAGAGCAATTAATCCCAATACTATATAAACTATTTGGAAAAATAGATGAAGAAAGATTCTTACCAAATTTCTTTTATGACACAAATATGGTATTGATACCCAAACCAGGAAGAGTCAAAACCAGAGAAAGAGAACTATAAACCAATTTCCCTAATGAATATTGATGCACATTTTTATTTTATTTTTTAATTAAAAGAAAGGATTTATTGTTTCTGTATACAAAATTAGATGAAAATGGCTAATGTAAAAAAAAAGATAAAAACCACATGACTCTTGCCCTATCAAAATTTTGTGGGAAGCTCATTGTACTGTCACTAAGAACAGGCAATGGTTACATTGTTCTTCATTCTAACAACAGATCAGAGACTCTTCATTTTGGCAGTGTTTTCAAGGCAATTAATGAATTTTCAAAATGTGGATCTCACCTCCAAAGTAGGTACCTTTAATTTTTCTTATCTTTCCCTTTGGAACATTACTTATATTTTCTTTGTACTTGGCTATTAAGTTCATAGATGAACTGTCTTTATGTGAATAACTGTTCTATAAATGAGATACAAAGTTATTCCCCACCCCAAATTCTAAGTTTTTACCACAAAATTTAGTTAGAAAAGTCAAAATGGTCCAAACTACATATTTAAGTATTGGGTTTAACTAATAAAAAGATACCAGGTTGATTGTATACTAGGAGTTCAATTTTTTTTAAAAATTGCTTTGAAAATTTGGAAATGGTTTCATATAAACATTGACTCTCCCTTAGCTCCACAATGTTAAAAAAAAAGAGCCAAACCTACACAAAACTCAACATCAAATGTCCAAAATTATTCAGAAAGAAGATTCTTCTGAAAATGCACATTGGAATGTGGACTGCACAACAACAAATACTTCAAGTAAGTTTCATGCCAATCATCATTAAGAGTCATAACATTACTGGAAAAAGTACACTTGTTCTTTTGGAAGAAATCTTACAAGAGACCTTCCATGGAACATGGTTTGAATCATAATTTAAGACTTAAAAAAAGGAGCAGCTAGATGGCACAGTGGCTAGAGCACCGGCCCTGGAGTCAGGAGGACCTGAGTTCAAATAGCCCTCACACACATAACACTTACTAGCTGTGTGACCCTGGGCGAGTCACTTAACCCCATTGCCTAACCAAAAAAAAAAAAAAAGACTTAAAAAAATATGAAGTCTTCTCTTTGGACGTAAAGAAACAACAAAAACAATTCCAATTTTGATTATGTAGAAAGAACTCCACTATGAATCTGCATTTACACTAATGGATGCCTGGAAATACCATTACTATACAGACACTAATCCCAAT